GAGACGTCACGACGCTCTGGCGCGGGTGCCCGAGTCGGTATCGCATTCTCTTCGTCACCGTTTTCGCGTTCGTCGTGTGCAACATGGATAAGGTAAATATTTCGGTGGCGATCATTCCCATGGCGAGGGATTTCGGGTGGACGAGCACGCAGGCGGGGTTTATTCAGAGCGCGTTTTTTTACGGTTTTGCCGTGTCGCAGCTTCCTGGCGGATTCCTGTCAACAAAGTTGGGCGGGACCAAGGTGTTGCCGTTTGGGATGTTGATCCTATCCTTGGCGACGCTGGTGATTCCAGTTTTCGGCGTGGACGAGAAGAGCATTTTCCTCGCTCGCGTGCTCGTCGGGCTCGGCGAGGGCGTCGCGCCGAGCGCGGCGACGGACATCATCGCGAGGAGCGTCAGTGTGAGCGAACGTTCGCGCGCGGTCGGGTTCGTCTTTAGCGGGTTCAACTTAGGTTCGGTTTTAGGATTGGGCGTGGCGCCTATACTAATAGATTTGACAAACTGGAGGACCGTGTTCGCCATCTTCGGATCTTGCGGTCTAGTCTGGAGCGCGTGGGCGATGAGGGTGTACGGAGACGGCGGGATGGTGGATGAGAGCAAGAATTACGATCCGGTGGAGGGTTTGCAAGGCAGGCGCGTGTTTACGATAGATAAGAAGGCGATGGAACGAGGCGAGGCGATTCCGGAAGATCCTCCGATTCCCTGGGGTGAGTTCATCTCCAATCCCTCGGTTCGAGCGCTCATGTATGTGCACTATTGCCAAAATTGGGGGTTCTACGTTCTCCTCGCTTGGTTACCCACGTACTTCACCGATGAGTTGGGGGTAACGCTGACGAACGCATCTCTTCTGACGCTGCTCCCGCCGCTGGCTAACGTCGCCATGGCTTCGGTCTCTGGCCCGACGGCTGATAAGCTCATCAGGACCGGTATGGACATCACGCGCGTGCGCAAGACGATGCAAGCCGTCGCATTCCTCGGACCAGCGACGGCCATGTCGACCGCGGCCGTGCTCGATCAGCCCGTCGCAACCGTGGGTTTACTCACGCTCGGGATCGCGCTCGGCGCGTTCTCGTACGCCGGCTTGTACTCAAACCATCAGGATTTATCTCCAAAGTACGCGAGTATTTTATTGGGCATGACGAACACGTGTGGTGCCTTACCAGGGGTGATCGGCGTCCCGCTCACTGGTTACCTGATCAGAGAGACTGGCAACTGGGAGCTCAGCATGTTTCTTCCCGCCATTTTCTTCTACATCACCGGCACGGCTGTATTTGCAAAGTACGGTTCCGGCGAACGCCAGGCATTTTCGGGTCAGCCGATGCCGCTGCCAGGCGAGTCGCCCGAGCCTAGCGACAGTGGTGGGCACTGATAGTACATGATGTTAGCGTTAAATATCGCGCGCGTTTCGTTCGCTTGTATTCATGAGATTTCGACGGATGAGTCCGCCTCACGCCCAGTAATCGTCATCCTCTCCTGGACCGAGACCTTTACGCGCACGCTCGACGAGGCGACGGTCGCACCCTAGCAAAATTTTGCACCCCACTGGGACCCCGTAACTCTCGACGCTTTTGTCATCCTCCATCTCGACCATACGATAGAAAATGACGAGATCGTCTGCGCCATTATCCAACACCGCGCGCCGTCCCGTGGTCATCTCCGCTCCGGCGCCTAAACCACCTCTCACGAGCGCCTCCTTCAGCGCCCGAACGCTCTTCGCGAGATCTGGAAACGCGAGCCTGTACCTGCATCCATCGAAAAAGACGGCGACGTGTTCTTCGTCCGTCCTCGGCGGCACCGTGAGCACGTATGGGATGATCTCAAAGCGCTCCGACGTCGCGGTTGGAATCTCCTCGAAAATTGCTCCTTCTTCGTCGGGCTTAATTTCAAACCCGCCGTCGTCGTCGCACTGCCACGCGCCTTTGCCAAGACCAACGTCTTTCCAATACCCGTCGTTATCCACCGTCGGCGCCGCATCGGGCTCGCTCATCGCGTCGCGCGTCGCGAACGCGCCTCGAGACGCGTCGAAGAGGTCGGTTTTTTTCAAGAAAACGCTCGTTTTTCGAGCGTTATGTGTCATTTTTGAAACCGACGCGTCCGCATAACAACGCGCGCGCCGAACGCGCGTCGTCGTTCGCGCGCGGCGGGCCGAGCGTCGTGAACGTCGACGTCGGCGTCGTTCGCGCGAGCGTGAACGAGGCGCGTCGTCTCGATGTTCGACGACGCGCTGAGCGCGCACGCCTGGCGCGAGTGGTTCCTCGCGCTGGTCATGAGACTCTTCACCGCGAGATGCCCCGGAGGATTACCGAAACTCTCGCAGGTCACGACGCTCTCGCCCAGGGTGACGCGGATCTTAGGTCTGAACCCGAGTGCGCTGACGTTACAGGGGACGAACACGTACCTGGTGGGCGTGGGAAGGACGCGCGTGCTCGTGGACTGCGGCGAAGGGAGGTATGGATACGCCGAGAGCGTGCTCGAGACGATGCGACGGGTCGGGTGCGATAGGTTGAGCGCGATCGTGTGCACGCACTGGCATCCCGATCACGTGGGTGGATTGCGTAAGCTCAGGAAGGCTCTTGGGGCACACGTCCCGGCGTACAAGCGAGTTCGGAGAGACGCGGGTGAGCGGGCGGTGAGCGCGACCGATATTGCGGGATCGAGAGCGTACGTGGACGTTCAGGACGGTGATGTAATCAGGGTCGAAGGTGCAACGCTTCGCGCGGTGCACACCCCGGGACACACGGTGGATCACACCTGCTTCACGCTCGAGGAAGAGGGCTCGGTCTTTGCGGGCGATTGCGTGTTGAACGGATCCACAACGGATTTCGAGGATTTGACCGCGTACGCAACGTCGTTGGCGTTGATTAAGGATGAGCTGGAGTCATTCAAGCGGCGCGGGGTGAGCGAGAACGGTGCGAATAGGATGTATCCGTCGCACGGCGATGTCATCGAGGATGGGATGAAGAAAATAGACGCGTACATCAACCATCGCGTCAGCCGAGAGAAAATGCTCCTCAGCACGCTCAAGCGGCATGCAGAGCCTGGTTTGACTAGTTGGGAGCTCACGCGATTGGTGTACGCCGCGCTCGTTCCCACACTCGTGCTCTACACTTCGTGCGCAAAGATCACGCGCCAACATTTGAAGAAGTTGCTCGACGACGGCATGATCGAGGAGACGATATCACGAGGCGGGCTCGCCGCGCTCACGGGCGGTGTGCTCGGTGGCGACGTCGTTCGTTATCGACCTACGGTTTCAGACTAGACTAGCTCGCATCATATAACACCACTACGCACCTCTGCACGCCTCCTCTGCCTCAGCGGCGATCGTCAACGCGTACATCTCAAACGCGTCCAACACCGTTCCTGTCTCGTCGTCCTTGAACACCGTCCTGTTACCCCCTATCGGGGCATCCCACACGTTCTTCTCGTACAATAAATCTGGCAAAAACGACGCTCCTGTCTTCGCTTTCGCCAACATTTCCTCCGCATCGCACTTGGCCCACATCAACTGCGTTACCGGCCTGCTATAAAACGCCCCTGTGGTCGCCCCACGCCACGCTTCGGGCACCTCCAACTGCTCACACGCCTCCAAAAACGCCCGTCCGTGATCGACGCTCGTCGGTCCCGCCAAGACGTGCGCCAACTCGTGCCGCACGCATCCCACAAAGTTTTCGTACGACGGGTCCAACACGACGTATTTGCTCAGGAACACGTCCGCCTTGGATGCGCCCGTCTCCTCGTCGTCGTACATATACGTGATACCGACGTAACTCTTCGCTTGGTGCCATCCTAGGTTGACCCGTCGAGCGTCTAGGGAGGCACGAGCGAGCTCGTGGGCGAAGAGTTTCTGAGCGAGCGGCCATCTTGTGGATAAATTGTACTCCGAGGCGCGCCACGCGCTCGAGAGATCATGTGAGCACGTCGCTTTGGCGTGCGTTGATGCACGGAGATTCGAGCGCGTTCGGTGGGCGAACGCAGGTCGAGAGACAGTGGGAGACGCGCGCACAAGCGCCATGGGGGGTGAGGCAACAAGTGCGGCACCAGGCAACAAGTGCGGCACCGCGCGCGCGTCAATGTCGTGAACTATGGTTAGGTCGGCGTCCTGACGATTCGAATGACAATCTAGCTAGTGAGATGCTCGAGCATCGAGCGTCGCAAAATCTAAGCCGTCGTCCGTCGCGGAGACGCAACGTCTTCGTCGCGAGCACGTCACCAAACTAATTCATCGAAACGATTTAGTTTTGGATCGTCACCTCGATCTCAACACCCGGTTCGATGGAGATGGACGTGATTTGCTTCACGACATCCGCCGGCGAGTGCAAGTCGATCAATCGCTTGTGAATGCGCATTTGGAATCGATCCCACGTGTTCGTACCCTCACCGCACGGAGACTTGCGAACCGTGAGCTTGAGCACCTTCGTCGGCATGCGAACCGGTCCCTTGACCTTCAAACGCTTATCCTTGGCACCACGGATCAAATCCGCGCACACCTTTTCGAGGTTCTTCACGTTGCGAGAGGTGAGGGTGATGCGAATGCGGTGCATCTGTTGTTGGGACTCCTCCGCCTTGGCGGCGGGGGCCTTGTACGGCGCGGCGGCGGCAGACATTATGTAACCTGCGCGAGGGAAGAACAAAAACAGCATCGTCAGTATTCCGCGCCTCTCCATCGCGCGCACGCGTCGCGTCGTCGTCAAAAACGATCGGTTCCCCGCATCCTAGGGCTTTACGCGACGCATCATCGTCTCGCCGCGCGCCCACCGTTGACGTCGCTCCGCGCGCGCGCGCGCGAGGACGACGCGCGCACCTGTATCGACCTTTTACGGTGCGAGTCGAACAATCCGCTTGGTCGGATCCGTCACTGACACCGAGTGAGGGCGAGGCGACGGCGCGCGCGCGCGGTCGTGCGCGACGCTCGAGACGCGTACGCGCACGCACACCCCGTACTTTTTGTTTATGTGTGTGTCAGATGTCCGAACATGTGGAACTGTATTTATGAGTCATGACTCGAACGCACCCCCGCAGGGCGTCCACGCGCGCTCGAGGCGTTGGACATGCCGCGTCGAGGGACTCGCGAGTGAGTCATGACTCGCGGATATTGTTTGGATAAACCCGACGCGGACGATCGCGCGCGCGGGACGGACGCGCGCGTCCACGCCGCGCCCCGCACACGCCCACGCCGCGAGCGCGCGCGCACGTTTCGCTCGTACCTCGCGCTTCGGCCCATCGCACGATGTCGAGCGCGGTTTCGATGCGCGCGAGAGCGTCGCGAGCGATCACGGGGAAGGTTTTGGCTCGATCTAGAAACGTCAAGGGCGGGGTCTCGCGACGCGCGCGCGATGCCTCGGTCAAGGCTGAGGTGAAAGAGATATTCATGCCCGCTCTGTCGTCGACGATGACGGAGGGGAAGATCGTGAGCTGGCTCGTCGGTGAGGGCGACTCGATCGGAAAGGGGGACGCGGTGGTCGTCGTGGAATCCGACAAGGCGGACATGGACGTGGAGTCCTTCGTGGACGGGATCATCGCGCACATCTCGGTCGAGGACGGTGAAGTCGCGACGGTTGGGGCGCCGATCGCGTACGTCGTGGACAGTGAGAGCGAGATCGAGGCTGCGAAGGCGAAGGCGAGCGGGGGAGCGGCGGCTCCGGCTCCGGCGGCCGCCGCGCCGGCTCCGGCGGCGGCGCCCGCGTCTGCGCCCGCGCCGGCGGCGGCGGCGGCCGCACCAGCGGCTCCGGCGCCGGCGGCGCCGGCGGCGCCGGCCGGTCGCATCGTCGCGACGCCCGTACGCGAAGAAGCTCGCGAAGAAGCACAAGGTTGACCTCAAGAACGTCCGAGGCTCCGGCTTGAACCGACGTATCACCGCGTCTGACATCGAGGCTGCCGCGGGCTTGCCGCCGACGCCGGCGGCTAACGCCGCGCCGGCGGCGGCCGCCGCTCCGGCGCCGACGAAGCCGCAAGCCGTCGCGCCGCCGGCGCCGACGGGAACCATCGTGCCGCTGTCCGGCATGCAAGCCGCCGTGGCGAAGAACATGCTTCCATCTCTCTCCGTGCCAGTGTCGCGCATCGCGATGAGCATCTGCACCGATGAGTTCGACAAGCTGTACGCTTCCCTCAAACCGAAGGGCGTTACCATGACCGCGCTCCTCACCAAGGCAATCGGCGTCGCGCTCGCGCAGCACCCGATCATGTACTCCACCTACCACGACGGTAAGGGCATCGAGTACAACGATAAGGTGAACATCGCGTGCGCCGTCGCTCTCGAAGACGGTTTGATCACGCCGGTTCTTAGAGATTGCGCGAACACGGATGTCTACCAAATCGGCCGCGACTGGAGCGGTCTCGTGAAGAAGGCGCGCGGCTCTGGTTTGTCCCCGGCCGACTACGCCGGCGGTAACTTCACCGTCTCCAACCTCGGCATGTTCGGCGTCGACCAATTCGACGCGATCTTGCCGCCGAACCAAAGCTGTATTTTGGCCGTTGGGTCGTCCAAAAAGACTGTCGTTCCGGTCGGTGGAATGATTGGCGTCAAGAGCTTCATGACTGTGAACATCGTTGCCGATCACCGCCACATCAACGGCAACGTCGCGGCGGACTTTGGCAAGACGCTGCGAGATGTCATTGAGAACCCTGCGAGCTTGACGATGTAAACAAGCGAGGGAGTAGAGAGTGAGGGTGCGCATTCATTTAATACAGAGAGAAGATTTGTATTTCAATTCGCGGTTACCAACGAGAGCGTTTTATAGTTGAGAGGAACTCCACGACTTCGCGACTGAGTCAAGAAGTTTTGCGTGAAGCGCTGAAGACGCGGCGATGATGCCTCTATCCAAACCCTCGATGTATCGCCCCCCGGCAAAGTTGAGCGGCGCGCCTCCGGCGTCCGAAACGGTGCCTCCAGCCTCCTCCACAAGGATCACCCCGGCGGCGTGATCCCAAATTTTTTCCATGTACCCAGCCTTGGGAAACTTCATGAAAACGTCCGCGTCCGCGCGCGCGACGGAACCATACTTCACCTGAGAGTAAATACGCAGCGGCTTGCACTCGATTCCGAGATTGGTCGCGACGGCGGCGGTGAAACCTTGAGACGAGTTTGCCTTCATCACAGGTTCGGTGAACTTGGCCTTGCGGGGGTCAAACGCCTCGCTCACCGAAACCTTGACTGGTTCGAACTTCAGCGTCGGATCCGTCGGAAACATATACGCCCCTTTGCCTCGCACCGCGGTGAAGATGCATCCCTTGTACCAACCGAGCGAATCCCCAGCGAGCATCTTCGACACGAGCCTTGGCGAAAACCCGTACGCGTAGCTTTCCTGGAACTCCAACACCTCGCCCGTCTTGGGCATGTTCGGGCATCCCATCACCCCGACCTTCAAATCTCCATCATCCATGAGCGCGAGCGCGATGGCGTACTGGTCCCCTCGCACGAATCCGAGCGTTCCATCCACCGGGTCCAGGATCCAGTGCTTTCCAGTCGGCCCGCCCGTGCTTTGTCCTCTATTGATCGCGTCCACGACGTCCTGCGACGAAAGCGTCGGCGCTTTTTCACCCATGTGTCCTTTGAGCGTTTTATTCACCAGGTTGGTCACCTTGTTCAAGGTCTCAGCGCCTCCCTCGCCGCCCTCGGTGAGCGCCTCCGCGTCCTCCTCGCCCACGAGCGTCATATCCGGAAAATCCTGCGCGATGCGCCTGCGAGTCGAATCAACGCCATTCCCACGTCAGTCGATGCGCACAGTGCCACGCTAACCGAGTCTAACGCGCGCGTCTTCATATCACGTTCGCGATCCATCGCATCACGCGTACCATGAGATTATCGCCTGCGCCGCGTAATCCGCGAGCGTCACCAGCGATCGATCCTCCTTCGTCTCCGCCTGTTCGTCCATGCGCATCAGCTGTCCCTGCACCTCCTGGCACAGCTCGCTCGCCAGACGGACCGCGTCGAGCGCGCTCGCGAGCTCCTTGGCGTACGCACCGCCGTCCACGCCGAGCGGGACGGTGTCGACCGCGGACGCGGCGGCGTGGCGCGCGCGTCGACCGTGTCGCGCGCGCGACGCTCGACGGAAAGCGCTCAGAGGCGGACGTCGGGCGACGCTCGCCGACAGCGCCGACGCGCGCGTCGAGGAGGCGAGCGCCATGACGCACGGCGCGCGACCGAGCGTCGGCGTGCGCGGCTAGGTGAGGAGAACAGGTTTTAGGTCTGTCGAGCGGATGACGACGCGGCGATAAAGCGTAACGCGCGTTGGACGATACCGGACGATCGGATGACGGCGAGTGGAAACCAGATGATTGGAAAAGGTATGTCTAATTAAATGGTACGAGTGGAGCGGTGACGGTGGCGACGAAGGGGAGGACTGGAGCGATGGACTAGACGTCGTTTGGAACGCTCGGTAAAGCGACGGACGCGGAATCGAGCGTCAAAGTCAAACGAACGTCCTTGTCATCGAAATCCCACGACACGGTCCAACACGCGAAGATCATGGACAGGACGCCCAGCCACTCGCTGGCGCCGACGAGGGAGTACGCGTTCTCTTTTCCCACCAAGGCGCTCAGAGCGGCGAAACCGACGACACCCATAAATCCAAACCCGCACGCCAGGTATTTCCCCCGCAGACTCTTCGCGCTGACGCTTCCTGGATGTGCCGCGAGCTGTCTCACACACATCGCGGTCCAGATCCACATCGCGAACAAGAATCCGAACGCAGCCGTGACGTGCGCACCGAAACTCTCCTCGTAGTTTATAGCCGCCGTCAGACCCAACAAGATCGCCGAAGAGACGCCGAACCACAATCCCTTCCGACTCCACGTGAACCATTTATCCTCACACGTCGCGTACGCGTCCAGATACCCCTTGAACGCCCACACAGAGAGCATCAACGTCCACGCGGCGAATCCCAACAGAAACTCGCTCGCGTACGACTGCGGCGTCCCCATGAACGTCTCGCTTATGATCGGAAACGCGTCGCTCGCGATCCGCGATTGCGTCGTGGCGAATCCGTAGGCGATTACCAAGCACGCCAGCGTCCCGAGGCACGCGCATCGAACGAGCGTGGACGCGCGAACCTGACGAAAGATGCGTTTCCACGTCGTGAGTCAGCGCGCGAGTCCCTCTTACATCGCGCGCGATCGATCGTTCGCGAGCGATTCCGCGCCGAAACGACGCGTGAACGTACCTCTCGCTTTGCCCTCGTCGCGTTCGCGTCCATGTCGACGAACGAAGCGTCACGAGGTGTCGACACGTCGTGCGTGCGTTTCTGTTCCAGTCGCAACCCATCGCCTCGGCGTCCGCAGTCGACGCCGGAGATGGGCGACGGCGCGCGCGCGGGGTTCCGTGACGCTGGTCGAGCGCGGGTGCGCGTCGGAAAGCTCGAAATGCGTGACGGCGACGCGTACAGGGAGGAAACGGGACGCGAAGACTAATCCGAAACGATTTTCGATTCGCAGCTCGACGCGTTTCGCGCCGCGCGCGCGTCGCGCGTGGGTGCGACGAGAACCGAAGCGGCGCGGGATGGTTCCCACGCGTCTTCGACGCCGCTCGAGGCGTCGCCGGCGGTCACGGAGACGCCGAACGTGAGAGATTCTCAACCAACCGCCGCGCGGGACGCCGCGGAGACGTCGGCGCGCGACGAAGAACTCCGAGAACTTCGCGCCGAGGTCGAGCGCGCGCGTTCGATCGTCGAGGATGCACGGCAGGACGCGGCGCGGGCGAGCGCGGAGGCGGTGGTGTCGAGACGGAGCGTGCAGGAGGCGCGCGCGGAGAGGGACGAGGCTCGAAGAGCGCTGGAAGCGCTTCGATCCGAGACAGAGCGCGCGCGATCAGGGGCCGACGCGACGCGGTCGGCGCTCGAGATTGAGAAACGTATCATAGATGTGGAGGGCGCGAGAGTGCGAGCAGAGGCGGAGCGAGACGAGGCGATCGAACGCGCGGAGGCGCTACGAACCGAGCGCGACGAGCTCGAGCGACGATTAGAAGTCGCGTCGACGCGCGCGGAGGAGGCGACGATGGAACTGAAACATCGCGCCAATGAGGTGATAACATTTGATCGCGACACGTCGGCGTACGCGAGCGAGAACGCGAGATTGCGGAGTTTAGAGATGGAGCTCGCAGAGGCGCGAGAGGATCGCATTCGAGCTGAGGAGGACGCGACGCAGCTTCGCAGGGATTTGGACGAGGTCCGGCGCGAAGCGGATTCGTTAGCTAGACGCTCGAACAACAGTTCTAGCGAAGCTGTGGGTGGACCATTCAACGCCGTAGAAGAGTCGACGTCGGACCAAGAGGAGAAGTACGCACTGCTCGCCGAACTACAAAACGAGCGACGTAGACGAGAAGTCGCCGAAGCCGAACTGAAGGAGTTACAGCTCGCGTCTGAGACTCAGGCGGAGCGCGCGGAGAGCGCATCGAGAGTTGCCGCCGTTGCTGAGGGTGAGGCGGATAATTATCGCGCGCGTGCAGCTGAGAGGGAGAAGGCGACACGAGAGGCGGAGCGTGCGGCGAACGAGTTGGAGCGCCGCGCCGCGGCCGCGGAGAGCGTCGTCGAAGCCGTGAAGAGCGCCATCGGAGACGCGTCGAGCGAAAGTGACGCCGAACTTCCAGCTCGGATTCTCGAGCACGTCGAGCGCGCGATCGAACGCGCGACGAGAAAGGCAAACGTTGCACTCGCGGAGGCGCTCGAGGAATCACAGCTCCTCAGCACGAAGACGAGAGAGATGGGGGAATCGCGCGGCGCACAAGTCGCCGACGTGGGTGATCGCGTGGCTAAGCTCATAGAGATTCGTGATAAGCTCGTGGAGGAGATGAACGCGCAATCGGTCGAGCTCGAGCGCCTGGACGCGGAATTGGAACGTAGAGACGCGGCGGTCGAAGCCGAGCGCTCGCGCGTCGCCGATCTCGAGTCCAAGCTCGCTTCATCAAACTCGCAAAACGCACGATTGATCGAGATCATCGAGGAACAGGGAAAATGGGAGACCGCGAACGCGCCCAAGTCGATCACCGCCTCGGCGCCGACGACGCCGGCGAAATCGACGCGTCCGCCGCCGCGCGCCGCCGGAGGCCGTCGCGTCGCCGCCGACGTCCTCACGAACGTCAAAGGCGCGCGCTCCGGATCAGCCCTCCTCGCGCACATCGAATCCAGACTCCTCGAGATCCAGAGCGCGTCCTAGCGAGCCGAACGTCACGCGTCAAACTCAAACTCTTCTTTCTCGTTGTTACAAAAACCGCGTCTCCCCTCGGATCCCTCGTCCGCTACGTCTTCCCACCCACCGCCCTCTCCGCCTTCTCGTAGCTCTCGTGCACGTGATCACACACCGATATCACGTCCAACAGCGCGTCCCGCATCGCCCCCCGCGCCGTCGCTCCCTCCCGTCCGTGCGTTTGCACCCGCACGTTCACCCGTCGCTCCATCGGATGCGGCGCGCTGTACCCGCACAGCGTCACGCTCGGGTTCGCGTTCAGGACGTACCGCAGCGCGTTCCCGAGCGTGTGGTCCTCCCCCTCGAGCGTGAACGTCGCCTCCGCGTTCGCCGCGGTCGGGGCCATGCGCGCGCGCCGCCGTGTGCGCGCGGTCGCGGCGGCGGCGCGACCGGTGCGCGACCGGTGCTCGACCGGTGATCGATCGGTGCGTGACCGGTGATCGACCGGTGCTCGATCGGTGCTCGACCGACGATCGACCGGTGATTGATCGGTGCTCGATCGGTGCTCGACCGGTGAGTGATCGGTGCTCGACCGACGATCGACCGGTGATTGATCGGTGAGTGATCGGTGCTCGATCGGTGCTCGACCGGTGAGTGATCGGTGCTCGACCGGTGCGCGATCTCGTGACATCGCGACGACGACATGCGCGCGTCGCTCGGACGACGGGCGGTGACGCGCGCGAACGTCGTCGCGCGAGGCGGTGGGCGGCCGGGGCGCGTGCACGTGCCGAGCGACGCGTTTCAGGGGCGTTCGCCGGAGATCGCGGCGCGAGACGCGCTGGGACGGTTGTTCACCGCGGTCGCCGCGCGCGCGGTGATCGCGGAGGAGAGCGAGGCGGCGATCGCGGGAGGTATGAAACCGGAAGAGTCGGAGCGGTACGAGGTTTTGAAGAAGTACGTGGAGGAGAATCCGATTCGGGACGGAAACGCGTGGATGGCGGCGCTCATGGAGCGAGACGACGTCGCGAGTCGAATGGTGGCTTTGAGAGTGCTCGAGTTGAGGAAGACGTACGCGGAGGAGGTTTTTGATTTCGAACGAGTGCGGGAGCAGGTTATCTCGGAGGTTCGGAGCGAGAACGATCGGTTGATGAGCGAGTACGTGAAGCGTTTGATGTGAGCGCGCGCTCGAGCGCGAGAAAGTTGTATTACAAACAATTGTTTCCAATGATTATGATGAATTTGAGCGCTCTCTGTCTAGCACAGATAGCCGCGGCAGTTGTGCGCGCCGCAGTAGCACGGAACCTTGCCGTCCTCGCTCTCGAATCTGTAGTTGTACGTCAGCTCTTCGCCAGCTTTGATGTCGTTTCGGGCAAAGAATATGATATGATTTTCGCCATCCACCTTGACGATCTTAGAGTACATGTTCGGGTTGCAGCTGTGGTTGGTAAAGCGCGCTAAATTACCTTGAAATGTACAATCGACGACGGTGTCGTCGTCTTGTTTCAGTAGGTAACAATCGACGCCTTCTTCTTCGTACGCAGTCTCGCGCATATCCGCGACTGTGCTCCTGCACGTCTCGCCCTTGAACTCGGTGACGATGGAGCCAGCCTTGTGGGCCGTTTTCGCCAAAAGACCCCACCCATGAATATTTGACTTGCAAAAGGTAAGCCTGTCTGAGTACGTTGCCGTCATGTGCTCGAGCTTTTCGCGCATCGTCATTCCTTGCTGCTCGACGATTTTATCCTCAGACGCCCCGGCAGATCCTCGAGCCTTACGTTCGGCTTGGAGCGCCGCAAACTCGTCAGGAGTGTACTTCTTCGAAGCTATCAGCTCGCCTTTGATCGCGCCGCGTGAGCCTCGCACGATATACGGAGTGAGTTCGACGTAGAGACGTTTTCCAGTCTTCGGCGGAGGGCCAGTCACCTTGGCGTTCTTATCGTGCTTATCCAGGCCCAGTCTTTTGTAAACGTTCGCCTGGATCTCTTCGAGCTGCTTGCGCGTGAGTTTGCTGTGATGGCTGAGCGCAGTCGCCGATAAGTCGATCGCCGCCTTCTCACGGCGAACCTCGCAGCCCCACGTTTCCAGCCATTTGCCAAGACTGATCAACGTTCGATTATTGAGAACGACTCTGATTGTTTGCGCCCACCTCTTTGGACCCTTCAAGCCGACGTGCGCCTCGAATTTTGTTCTCTCATGATAGACTGGTCCGTCATCATTATCTACACACGCTCTACATAGACATTCGATGCGCCTGGTTTGAACGTGATACGTGCCCAGGACGCCTCGACAAACGACGCTCACCATCGCCGGCAAATCATCGGGAACATGTGTGCGAACGGCGTCTTCGTCATCGTCCGATTCTTCGTCATCCGAGCCCTCCATATACGGTGCGTCGTCGCCAAGAGCGATACGGCGATCGATTTCGTCATCCTCAAACTCTTGTGGGATGGAACATACGGCGTACGCAGCCATGGGATTCTTCTGACACGTCCACATGTCGGCGTCGTCTGCGGATAGCTTTTCTGCGAAACTTTGAGGCACGCGTCGCCATTTGCCGCAAGAAGCATTTTCGCACTGGACCCACGCTTCCTTTTCGCGGGGTTTCTTCGGACGAGCGAGATCTGCGATCTTAGCACGATCCGAGGGGTCCGCTGGACGTTTCGCCGAAGTGTACTGTGCGTTGGCGATGGCGATCTGTGTCTCCGCCTGCGTGTTCCTCGATTCGTTCGCTTTTGGCGCCTCTGGTAAGAAGGTAAGATCAGGAGCTTCACCATCAAGAAACTTTAAATTTTGTGCGGCGCGAGTGAAGGACATGAGCTGGTCTGTGCCATCATCGAAAATGACTTTGTAACGAATGCCCGTGCGACTTATCGTGCAGTCCATGATGGATCCGTCCCTCCAGTCCGGTATGTGAACTGTACCGTGATCAATCTGGACGCGTCGCCCGACCAGGGCGTGCGCTTTCGTCTTTTCTTCGCTTCGGTCGCCCAACTTATCGTCCTCAAAGGTTCCCAAGCCAAGATCCTTCAGTGCGCTCGTTCCTCGCAACTTCTTCAGTTTCTTTGGCTTTGGGGGATTGAGCGTTGTTCGAGCGGCTTTGTCCTTGTTCGCGAGAACAACGACACCGTGTGCGTCGAGCCAGTCACCAAACGTCTGATCATCATCGTTGTCTTCGTTTTCATCCTCTTTGGCGATTCGAATCGAGATTTTCCACTTTTTGGTGTGCTTCATTCCCGCGTGTGCCTCCCACCTGTTCGCCTCCCACAGTGCCGGCTCGTCGCGCTTCGCTAACTCTGCCTCCCGCTTACATCTACCGCACAGGCACTTGATGTACGTATCGGCAGGTCTGAAGATTCCCCTAAACGTTTTGCATCGAACGAGCGTCTCGGGAAGTTCTGGTCGCGGAACGTTTCCCTCTGGCACCGGTAATCCACCAGGCAAACACGGTTGCGCCGCGTTTTGACTTGTAGCAGCCGGTGCTGATTCTTTTGGCAACCCAAACGTCGTGCTCTTCGGTGAGCTCTCTGAAAGATCATCGGCCTTTCTCTTGCTTGATTCGCCGCGTGGGATGTCCACCTCAACCTTCGCTACTTTTGTGGGCAATTCAGAGTCGGCAACAGGATCGTCTTCTTCATGGTCCGTCGGCTCGGTTTTGTACTTAACGTCGAGGTCGGTGGACAGATCGTCGTCATCCGTGTCGAGCTCCATCGCGACCGGGGCTTCAGGGTTAGTTTTAACGCTCGTCGTGTCAACCTTATCCGTATCCATGCACTCTACGATTTTGTCGTCGTCGCCGTCGTCGTCGTCGTCGTCGTCGTCGTCGTCGTCGCCCTGATCGTCGACGTCGGCATCATCGTCTTCGTCAGCGTGCAAGACGCGCTTGCGGACTCTAATCTTTTTGGCTGCCGATCCAGGGACATCTTCGTCATCATCCTTGATGTCGGCCTCCGTCCTTGGGTGGCCGACGGGAACGTACGTGCGGAACTTGGCGCACTGCGTCCAATCGTATTCGGAGTCTGAGCTCAGCTCAGACTCCTCAGCGATTTGAACTGCGGCTTCTTCGCGCTCTTTGGCTTCTTGTGCGGCGCGCCTTTCTGCCTTTGTTCGTTTTCGCTCTGTGTTCGCCCCGCACTGAATCAACCGACCGTCTTGACCGATTCGAAGACCTTTATCGCCTGCATAAATTTGCGCTCGCTCCGTATCGACGCGACAGTGCCTGTGACAGTAGGACAGCAACTGCAGAGGCGAGTCATCGTCTTCGCCGTCGTCGTTGGCGTCCATGTACAAGCCAGTGGCGCGTGCGCAAAGCGGGTGGTACGCGATGTAGCAGCCCGGGTGACAGCATTGAATTTTCGCCCCCATACGTTGCTTGCAAACCGTGCAAAGAAGCGTCCAACGTTCTTTTTGAATGTTTGCGATGTTGTCAATCGGCTCCATACGCTCGATGTCGAGCACCGTTGTCTCTGGAATCCACTGACAGCACGCGCTGTGTGCCCAGAGCGAAGGAATCGTCGTTGGTTTGAGAGCCCCGCCCTCAACCGGACACAGACAACACAGCGGTGTCTCACTAACCGCGCCGCCCGTGTGCTCGCACGCGCGACACAACCATCCGACGGTGTCGTCGGGGATATCGGGGACGCCGTAACACGACTGATGAACCGTCACGGCACACGCCTCGCACGTAATGAGCTGGTCGTAATCGAAATCACGTTCATCATCGCATACAGCGCAGCGATCGACACTCCAGCTCACTTTGACGACGTCGTAGTCCAAGGTCGAGCCGTCATCCTCGCTCGATCGGCGCGCGTTGAAATCGCTCCCGTCCAAGAAACGACCAATGGGCATCTTCGCCGGCTCAACCATGCGCAAGGACGCCTTCCACTTCTTCGCCTGAGCCATGCCCGCGTGTTTCTCGAATTCCGTCGGTGTCATGTATTTCTGCTCCCCGGCGCACTCGGAACACTGGCACAGCACTTGATTGAGACGCGTGTAGTAATCCGCCGCTACACCGTTACACACCACGGCGAGCGTCGCCGGCAAGTCACTACCGCCGGTCAACTTGGAAATCTCCCCAGCCTTCGAGCGACGAGCCGCACGGTTCGCATCGATTGACCCTCGCTCCGCCTTCGCTCGCTGCGCCGCTTCGTACCGCTCCGGGTGGAGAACTTTATCGTAACGTTTTTGCTGCTGTTCGTCGAGATCTCCGTTCTCGTACATCTCCATAATCAACTCACGGAATCGACCCGCCTCCTCTCTCGCGAGATCTTCGTAGCGTTCGCGCTCTTCTGTCGGCAAATCTCGCCACGCCGCTCCTTGCATGCGATAGATCTCCGCAAAGTCCATGGTATCGTCGACGTTTTCATCCTTGTAGTTTTGGAAAAAGTCCTGCGCGAAGAGTTGCCACGAACTCTTCGGCCTCTTCGGTACCGTGTTCTGCTTCTTCGACACCGCATGAGGAGACTTGATGCCCGGTGAAAACGAAAGGGATGATTTCGTCAGGCGTTTGAGCGCCAATCGCGCCTCTTTCACAGCCCTGGAGGGGCGCCCGACGCGAGGCTTGGCCAGGAGCTTTTCCAGACGCTTGCGCTCTTTTATCTCAGCCTTACGCTTGGCCTCGATGCGCGCTGCCTCCGCCCGACGCTCTTCCTCTGCAATCTGCGCCGGTGTCTTCGTTCTACACTTCGGACACTCGTAAGCCAGCTCCTCACCGTCGTTCTCTTCTCTATCTAATACCTCTGCTGCGAGCGCGTCGCACTCCCGGTGGATCCACATGTCGCACCTATCGCAGCCCACCATGGGATCTCCAGTCGCCCATTGCCACACCCTATCGCACACCGGACAAAACTGCCCCTCCTTGTACAGCTTTTGACACAGCGAGCACCGTCCTTGAGCGTTTTTCGATTTCAACCCCTCATCGCCCGTGACGCCGCACGAACCGCACGCGATTTCCGGCTCCGCTTTCTTCACGTTCTTCAACGCCCCCACGGGAACGCCCGGGAACCCCACCGACGCGCTCGACGTCAAACCATCGCGCTGATCTCCACGACCCCCACCGAGATTCTCGTCCTCTTCGTCCCCTATAAACGCGCGCGGCCCGAGGCTGGCGTCTCCCCCGTTCGCCTCGACCAACTCCCTCGCCTCCGCGCACGCCTCGTTAAACGCGTTCGGACGCATACGCTTCGCCACTTTCTGCGCAAACAACGCCTCCGCCCGCGCGTACGGCGCTAATCGTTCCTCCGTGGCCCAACAGTAGTCCCGCGCGCGTCCGCGCGTCGCGCTCGGTCCCAAAAACATCACGCACACGCTCTCCGGCTCGCACTGCTTCCGCACCCCCTCCGGCGCGTCCCACGGCTCGACCACGACCGCGGGCCAGAGCGGTTCCGTCGCGCGCGACGACGCGCGCGCGAACACGACGTCGCCGTGCACGTACGACGCCAACGGCGTCGTCTCGCGCGCGTCCGCCCCCACCCCACCCATCGCCCGTCCCCGACCGGCGCCGCGATCGTCGCTTCGCGCGCGTCGCGTTCGCCCCGACGCGTCCGGCCGTCGACGCCTCGCGCCCTCGCGCGCCGTCGACGTCGCCGTCGACGCGCGCGCGCGCGTCCGCGGCGCGGTCGAACACGCGTATACGCACACGTACGGGGTTTCTTTCCAAGCCCCTCGGCGCGCCCCGCACCCCGCGCGGACGAACGCGAAGGTTTTTTCGCGAGTCACGACTCATACACGCGTCCCCGACCACGATCGACGTTTCCACCCTCCGCGGGTGCGCACTCGTGAAAACACCCCCATCGCCGATCGCACGCGCGCCGATCGCGCGCGCCGACCGAGAGGCGCGCGTCTCCGGGGGAGATTCGGCGTCGGCGTCGGGTTCGGTGTTGTCGCACCCCCACGAGTCCGCACTCGTCAATGAGTCTCGCCGCACGGCGTCGGCGTCGATGCGAAGGGTCACCGCGCGCGCGCGCGCGCGAGGTCGACTGCAGAGCGCGCGCGGGGGGGCGCGACGGGAGCGGGCCCACGAGCGCGGCGGTGGTCGACGCGGTGGTTTTAACGTCGACGGCGCGCGCGCGGTCGCGGGCGGGGACGTCGACGGCGCGCGCGCGTGGACGTCGAGAGTGTCGGAGGAGATACCGCGATTTTATACCGCGCGCGCGCGAGGGAACATCGCGCGCGCGTCGCTCGTCGACGATGCTCGCGCGCGGGCGCCGGGGGAAAACGCGGGAGGAATGTCTCGCGCGTGATCTCCGGCGGAGCGATAGCGCGATGACGCTGCGGCAGAGCCAGCGGACGGGGGAGATGGGTCGGATGGGGGACGAGGGTGAGAAGGTTCCTCGCGAGCTCGAAAAGGTTCCTCGCGAGAGCGAGTGGCCGGGAGCGCGGGTGGACGTCGACGCGGATGAGGACTGGAGGCGGTCGACGGAGGAGAGCGAGGAGGTGGAGGGTGACGTTGCGGTCGATGCGTCGGCGCACGCCGAGGTGGAGTCGGGTCGCAGGTGGTACACGCGGGTGCGGATATACGACGACGAGTGCTCGACCGCGGTGTGGGACGCCGAGCTGGCGAAATTGGAGGCGAGCATTCTGTCGAGCTCCGACGACGCGAGCGTGGGGGGGGTCGAATCTAGCCGGTTTCGACGCGAGGAGCGGCGTTGGGCGCCGCCGGCGGATTATTACGAAGAAGACGAAGAGAACGACGGAGGAAACTTTGGAGTAGCGGTAGGCGTGAACGGGGCAGGGGACGCTCGCGTAGTCTCGGTGACGTCAACCGGTGGAGTGTGGGATACGAACAACGAGAACGCGGTGAATACGAAGTCTGGTGGACCGTGCGATCACTGTGGGGCGCTGGAATCGCCGCAATGGCGACGAGGACCGGCGGCGAAGCCGATGCTCTGCAACGCGTGCGGGACACGATACCGAAGGACGAACAATCTCGGTCCGTCTCCGCTCTTACGCGCCGCAGCGTTAGGCAAGCGCAAGACTCTGTCTCAACAAAGCGAGCCGAACGCGAAACCGAACGCGCGCTGCAACGATCCGGGTAGCGCGAAGATATCTTTCGGAAGTGCAATGGTGTTCTAGTCACGCACGACAAAAACAAACTCAAGGAAACACAAAGCACCATCGTGTGCAGGAACGTGTTTTCGGATTGTTATTACTCGACCATTCGTATAGGTACCGAATTATCGCATCGTAGTGCATCTATTAACTGAATTATGGTAATACGAACCTACCGGTGCCGGTACAAGAACCGGTACCGCTAGTACAAAGTAGTGCACGCCGATTCACGCCCCTCGAGCGACAAGTCGTTCTCGTAACCACGTCTTATGTTGTAGAAGCTTTTCGCGTCTCGACTCAAGTTTGGCGTGATCCTCTTTCGCGGTGGCCTGCAGTCTTGCAGCTCTCGACATCAAGAGTGATGGTGATCCCGCCAAATCATTCGCCGTGCTGGCCGACGGAGTAGATACCCCACCGCTCGCGCCCTCGTGATGCTGATCCGAGGATGAAAACTTTCGTAAACTTTTACCCACAAAGTTCGTCAGCTTGGTTCCCGCGATATCGGTGAGCTTTTCCATCTGGCTCGTCAGCGATCGAATCGAGTTATTCGGTGGCGAAGCTTGTGAGGGATGAAGCTCACGCATCGAAACCATCGGTGATGCGAGCGGTGATGCCGAGTGAAGATGACCAACGCTAGCGGCGAGCGCGGCCTGCGTGTCAGAAATCGACCGCGAAGAAGAATCTATGACGCTCACGTACTCGAGCATGACTTGACTCGTGAGTTCGCCGACGAACGTGCACCACTCTTTGAGAATACGCGCGGCTGCGGTTCGAGAGTAAGAGCTGAGCTCTTCGACAAGCGTCGCCACTCGCTCATAGTCTTCGAGATACTCCTTTGAAGCCCGGGTGACAAGCTCGTGTTCCAACCACTCTCCATCTTGGTAGACGAGCAGGAGTGAGGCGTTTGTCTGAGACAGAGTGCGAGACGAAATCGCACGAACACTCTCTGCCGTTTGCCTCTCGCGCTCAAGAGCGTTGGATCGACGAGTCAAAGTCGATTCGAGCCTTTTCACGGCTTGCAGAGCCTCCTGAAGGCGATTTTCCTCATCTACGTAAGACTGCTCCAGGTAATCTCTCGTGCTCGTACTACGCGTCTCACTATCGTACACTTCACTTTGTCCTGGACGTGTGTACACTTCGAGCAACTCTTGTGAAGCTTTACCAAGCTTATCTTCTACCATCTGCCTTTTCATTGCGTTCCGATTTTCTGCGCTCAACGCCCATAAATTGACAGCATCCTCCTCCGCCAAAAGCTCCTTCTTCAGATTCGAAGTTATCATCGTCAAGTTCTTGCGAAAAAATGGCAGATCATGCGTCGCCTCTTCGTGTGTTCGCTTAATCATGGCTCTGATCTCACTCAGTCTATTCTCTGTCTCGTTCTTATGCGACTGCACAGAAGCCATTAAACGCTCAGCATCGGGCTCGTTGAACTCACCAAGATCTTCCCAACCCTCCGTTCGCGCATCACTAGGTTTCTTCTCTCCAACGTACACATGTAAGATCCAAGAGAGTTCAGAACTAATTTGCCGCAGGAGTTCGAGGAGCATTTCAGCCTGCTCAATGGTAGCCTCGAACAACGAATCTACCCAAAGGTGCCACATCGATTTCTGATAACTGCCTTCCGAATTGAAGACACTAAGGTCGGGCTTCATTTCCAGTGTTTTATCAACAGCTTGTACTCCTGACACGAACTCACCATACAACGCTACGATTTCCTTGCTCTTTTGTTGTAGCTTGGAAGTCAAAATGGATTTCACTGGACGTAGCGCGATTTCTTTCGCGCTTTCGATCACCTCTTCTCCGTGCTCCACGAGCGATCCCGCGTGTGTCTCTATCGCCATTATCTTAGCGGATACAGAATCGAGCTCTTGACTACTCAGACACCAATCCGGAGGAGCAAGGCTTGGATTCTGATCGCGCTTTTGTCCACCCCGCGATTCATGGGCACGCTCGATCACCCCCAGCTCATCGTTTAGGCTCACGCCTGCCCTGGCGCCGTTTTCGCGTCGATCTCGCGATTCCAAGAGCTTAGCTTGTAAATCGCTCGATCGTAATCCGACGTACAACTCTTCGACGTCCGTCACCACGGCAAAGTTTGAAGTCGCTGCCGGGAGGTCGATGTCGCTTGGACGTCGAAATCTCCCTCGCTCTCGCGACGTGCGCTGATCCACTTTCGCGGGCGAGAGTTCACCATTTAAGAGCTCTTGAACGCGCGCGATGAATTTCTCGCACTTGGCGTCGTCACACGGTTCGATATCCGACGTCGATTCCACCGTCGAACGAAAGCTCTCTCCGCACCGCTGTAGCAACTCGATCGCCTCGCCCATCTCCGTCGTCGCGAGAACCGCCTGTGCCTCCAGCTCACACAGTGCGACGCACGCCGCGAGAAGTGGTGCTCGATGGCGCGTCCGAAACATCTCGTCCCACAACTCCATCGTCACTCTCGTCGGGAGAACGTTGACAAACATTGAAAGCAGCCATGTGCCACCAACAACCGCCGGAACAACGTCGTCCTGCCCTATCGCCCCCACGTGTAGCCCGACCGCCGGTAGCAGCTCCCTCAACGCTCGAGCGAAGACTCTCTGATCGAGTTTAGCCCCCGTCATGCCCTCGTCGAAGTACCCCGGAACGATCTCCGATACTAGCGTCGTCAGCGTCCAAAACGCGTCCTCCTCACCCGTCCCCGCGAGCAACAAAAACGCCGCGATCGAGTGCATGCTCTGCACGTACCCAATCCTCGGACAGTGCGACACGAACGCCAACAACACACGTTTCAGCGCCTTGTAATCTCCCCCACCAGGTCGCAGATCCAACGCGTTTCGAAACGCGCCCCCCGCCCGAGGCAAATCCTTCTCGATCTGCCCGCTCGTCTCCGCGCTGTGCGTCTCATCGCTCCCTCGAAGGTCCACGAGCGCGCGAAAGTGTCCCGGCAACTCATCGCGAGACGCCATCGCCCCGCACGCGCGCGGCCAGAGTTCGGCGCGCCGTTCACCGCGCGAGGTCTCGAGGAATCGCGAGCGATTCGTCTCCGCATCCGTCATCGCCCCGCGCTCGCGCGCCAATCGCCGATGCGCGCGCCGTCGCCGCGCGCGACGCGCCGCGCGACGTCCGCGGTGCGCGTCGGCGCGCGCGCGCGCGTTCGTGACGTCACAAGAGCGCGCGTGCTCGCGCGCGGTGCGTGGTCGTCCGATGTGTGTTCCGGGCACCCACGCGCGTGCGCTCGGTTTCGTCCCAGACCGCGACGCGTTGGACGCCGCGCGATCGCGCGCGCGCGCGCGCGAACGTGGAACCGCGCGTGACGTCGCGCGACGCTCGCGCGACGTCGAGGCGTCGAGAAGGGACGGCGCGCGGGCGGGCGCGACGCGAATCGTCGCGCGTCGGCGCGTCCGAGTCGGACAATCATCATCCGCGTCGCTCGATGCGCGTCGTGTCGAGCGGACGACGGGACGTCCCGACGCAAGTCTTGGGAAAGATGTCGCTCACGCACGTGGGGATCTTGGCGGTGGCGATCGAGCCGGTGATGGACGATTGTGGGGCGAGAGAGACGGCGCGCGCGGTGCTCGAGGAGGAATTGTGTCGAGAGCTACGAACGCTTCACGCGGCGTTCGGTGGAGACGCGGGAGAGGATGGAGAGAAGTTGATACGCGTCATCGCGGCATCGAGCGATACTTTCGTTGTTTTGGCGCCGAGGCGGTACGTGGAGGCGACGAAGATGGTGTGCGCGGCGGCGCGGATGGATAAAACGCCGATTACGATACGCGAGGTCGTGGTGTGCGAGGGATCGCACGAGATGGACGTTTTAAGACGAGTGGTTCCGATGCTGATCGAAGGCGCGTTCGCAGAGACACCGGATTGGCGCGCTTTCGGGGAGAACGATTCGGGGACGCGGTATATGTTTCAAGATTTCTGGCCGGCTAAACCAGGGATGATGGTCACCGCATGCGGCGTTGAGATCGAGCACGGTATCGCCGTAGCCAAGGCTCCGACGACGCTTGATCGAGACGTCGGAGAGGATCGAGAGCTCGATATCGTGTTCCCGAGCATAAATACAGTAATTTTGAGATTACAGCGCATTGGATCGATCATCGACGCGATGCGAGATGCGGGCGTGAGCAATCAAAAGTTGCGTGATTTCATAGCTGGCGATAAAGTGATCGACATCTCTTCGACGCCAATCATGGCGCAGGCGGCTCCGGAGATTGGCATCGAGGTGGGCATCATCGCGTTTCGTCGAGAGATGCCGCACAACGCCGGATTTAAAACTATCGCCGAGTTTCGATTGGCGTTCGGTGCGCGATTCAACACGTTTGTACCGACACATGCACACGTAGACGATTCTGAGACCGAGCTTCTCGCGGACGTATGTTTTCCAGGCCACGACGCGCCATATCTATGGCCAGTTTCACTCCTTCTCAAGAACACCGGAGCCACTGAACTCACCGCCCGCTCTTCAAATGTCACGAACGACACGTTGTTGGCCTGGCTGTTCGCCACGACGCAAGTACCAATCCTTGAAACCCATCTGAGCTTTCAGGTGAACAGAAAGGCGTTCATGTCTCAGAACATCGCTCCAAAATGTGGACCACTGATACCCGATCGAGAGATTTTCATGACTGCGTCGCAGACGAACAAAACTGGGTGGCCAGCATTTTCTGCACAGGCGAATTCAATGCCCTACTCGATCGACGCTTGGGTCAATCCGTTCTCTCATGTCGATTCATTCCCACCGGTGGCGCCGAACATTTTCTCTCCGCATCAAATGGTACCGATCAATACCACTTCGACTCCTTCTTCTGTTCCGCCGAGTGTGAAGACTCCTGGTGGAAGTGATTTCCACAATGTGTTCGCGTTTGACGACCTTCTCATCGATCGCGCCAAGGATTTATCTCCCGCTCGCATCGCAGAGTTGACCCACGAGATAGCTGAGTCTGGCGACGAGGACCAAGAACCAGTTCTTGGAAGTCGTTTGACGCCAGGAGGTATTCGAACGGCGACGTTTTCACGTCTTCAGGGAGACCTGCCACAAAAGCGTTCTCCAGCTCCGGTGACAAAGATTCCAGCGAAGAAAAGGCCGAGTGGTAAACGGAGGAAACCCAACGAACACGGAGATCTCCAGAATCGGATCGCAACGGCGTGCAAAAAGAAAATAGGGGAGGTGCCCGACGAGGTGGTGGACGTGTGTGCGCTAATCGAAGCCAACGATTTGGAATCAATCAAAATACGAACGCTCGATAAAATCGGCTTCATCACCATGGTGAAAAAACTCATCGACGCGCAAAGCGGCGATAACCCGAAGAGTAGAAGTAAAGAAGATCTGGTCTCGTATACCTGCGAAAAGCTGAAGCTGAAAAAGGCAGTGGCGAAGAGGAAGAGATGAATGCGATTCGTCTCGACGAGGATTAATGGATATGGTCAAACAATTGTGTATATTTGAAATGCTGCGAGCGCGCGATGTGTGATATAACCTAGAGGTATGATTTTAAAGAGACTTGAAAAGCTCTGTGAATTTATCCGCGGTCTCCTTGGAGAGCTCTGAAGATTGATTTTTGTTAATGAACTCAACCTCCTCGCTCAACGTTTCGCGAGCGCGTACATACGCCTGGGTGAGCATTAGTTCCACTTCTTGAGCAGTCTTTTCGTTCGTGAACCCGCTCTGTATCGCGAAAAGACCGATTGTTTGCTCCGCGAGCGACGCCACTTCACCTTGCTTTTGCTTGAGAAAGCCGCGAATGGCCTCGGAGCGGCTGCGAAGCTTGCTCTTCTCCGCGCCGGAGCTTCCAAATGTGCCCATGTCGTCCGATTGCATCAAGTCGAGTCGAAGCTGGAGGAAGTTGAGCGAGCGGAACGGTCCAGCCGCGCCCGGAGAACCGATGCGACTGACGGAGTCTTTCGCGCTGATGATCCAGCCTTGCTCTGGATCGTAAGAGTCGACGAAGACCTGACCATCTGTGATGGACATGAACTCCTCCACCATGGGTCTGGTCTGGACGAATGCCGCCTCAGGGACGTCATCTTCGCTCGACGAGTGCTCCATCGCCTTCGCCTTCTCTGCGAGTGCCTTACGAAGTTTCTCTTGCACCGCGGAGGGCATAGAATCAAACCCCTTGATGGATTCCACACTGTTGGGAAGGACAGCGCCGCCGGAACCCGAGGTTTCCATTCCACCCTTGAACGACTTCTTGTACGCACCCTTCGGATGATACATCACCCCCATTAGCGTGATCGACCCCCCTTTCAGCTTGTCGTTCAATCGAGCGACTCGCTGAAGCGTCATCCCCAAGAAACGACGGCGCTCAGCAAGAGATGCGGAGATCAACATGCCCTCGTACTCCTCCATCTCCTCCTGCGTTCCCTCCGCGACGTTCAACTGTGGCGCCAGTCGACTCATGTCCTTGGTGAAGTTCACCAAGCCCGTGAAATCGTCGAGAACCAAGAGAACATCTTGTCCCACGGCGCGAGCGCCCTCGGCGATGGCAAATGCCGTGCACGTGGCCGCGTACCTCTCGCCCTCGCTCGCCTCCTTATCAACAGTGACGATGGTCGTGTACTCCATGGCTCCATCCTGTTCCAATCTTTTCTCAACCTCTTCCACGCGCGAAGCCTGCGCACCGAGCGCAGCGTAGACGCATCGCACGCCCGTCTTCTTTTGCGCCGCAATCGTGGTCAAACAGAGCTCGGAGAGCCCAGTTCCTGGCTCGCCGCTCACGAGCATGCATTGCCCTCGGCCGAGCGGCGCGAGCACGTCCACTGCCTTCACACCCGTCACCAGCGGCGTCGTGATCGGTTTTCTATCCTCAACCGTCGGCGGTTCGCGCATCATCCGCGACGAATCATCCGTCCCGGTAACCATGCGCTCGCCCTTCAGGCACTCGCCGAACGCGTTCACTGTCCTCCCGGCGGCCCAACGCGCGCTTGGCCCGCACGCGAACTCCATCTTACTCGCCTCCCCGACCGTACCCAGGACCCCATCCCCGGCGTCGACCTTTTTTCTCCCGTTCGCTTCCTCCTCGAACATCAGCGCGAAGGTCTTCGGCTCTCGATGCGCTAGCAACACGCCTCGTCTTCCGCCTTCGCCGAACGTCACCGTAGCCCCCGGCGGCGCCGCGCTCCGCATCCCCTCCAGCACCGCCACCCCGCCCGCGTCCACGCGCACACACGTCCCCGAGAACAACCCCTCGTCCGTGATCGTCTGCATCTCCGCCTCTGGCGACACCGGCGGCGAAGCGCGTCCGACGATTTTCGTCGACGCGTCCCTTCGTAAGGTCCACCTCGACGCGCGCTCACCGCGGCGCTTACACTGCCGAAGCGTCGACGCGATCGCGGTCATCGTCGTCGATGACCCGCGAAGCGTGAGCATGACGCGGCCGTGTCCGTGCGTCGCGCTGTGCGAACTTTTGGACGCCGCCGCCACTGAGGAAAAGCTCAGAAACGAACGAACACGCCTCTCATCGACGCGCCCTTCGCGCCCTCGGCGACGATGGGGAAGAAGAAGCGCGGTGGTGGTACCGAGGCATCCGCCGACGCCTCGACGAGGCGCACGGGGGGTAATTGGGCGGCGTTGAGCGCGAAGATCAACGCTGGGACGTCGGACAAGGCGAAGAAGAAAGCAGCCGAGCGCGCGGCGATGGCGCGCGCGGCGACGGAATCGAGCGTGAACGGATTGATGGAGGACGTGCGAGACGGTGGGATCGATGTGAAAGAAAAGGGTGGGAAACCGAAGCCGACGGGACGAAACACGGCGGTGACGCGGACGCTGGCGTTGGATTGCGAAATGGTGGGCGTGGGCGAGGACGGACGGAGAAGCGTCCTAGCGCGCGTCTCGGTCGTGAACGAGGATGGGAACGTTATTTTAGACGTGTTCGTACAACCGACGGAACGCGTGACGGATTACAGAACGGCGGTGAGCGGGGTGCGGCCGAATGACGTCAAGGCGGAGAGCGGCGCGCGGACGTTTCGAGTCGTCCAAGCGCAGATGAGCGAACTCTTGAGAGGGAAAGTCCTGGTCGGGCACTCGTTGAAGAACGACATGAAGGCGTTGATGCTCGATCACCCGAAGCGAGACACGCGAGATACGAGTTTGTATCACCCGCTCACGCGACCGCTTCGACCCGAGGAGCGGTGCGTCCCCGGCGCGCCGCGCGGACGCGGGTGTCGAGCGCTTCGCGATCTCGCGAGGCAACACTTAGGATTAGAGATTCAAACCGGCGAGCACTCATCCGTGGACGATGCGCGCGCGGCGCTGGCGCTTTATAAAAAGTTCGCCAAAAAGTGGGAAGCGAGCTTGCGGCTCGCCGACGGAAAGAGCGGGCGAGACGGCGGGAAGAAGAAGCGAAAGACCTCGCGCGATTGATCGCACCTCGCGTGCGCTCGCGCCGTGTAACGCATAGCACCCTGTACACTCTGAATGTACCGCGGAATCACGTCCGCGCACCCGCATCGTGATCGACGCGCCGCGCGCGTCTCCGTCCGCCGCCTCCGCCTCTGCAAATAAAAAACACCTCGACCGTGAAAAAATAAACGTCATCGACGCTCCCTCGCGCGCGGCCGCACACGCCGACGCGCGCGAGCTCCGTCGACGCGAACGCGCGCATCGACGTCATGACGGACGTCTTGACGAGCGATGCGCCGCGCGCGCAGGGCCTGCGCGCGTATTACGACGCGAAGATCGAACAGCTCGAGGTGGCGCTCAGGGACAAGACGATGAATCTTCGACGTTTGGAGGCGCAGAGGAACGCGCTGAACGGACGAGGTGCGTCGTGGGCGCGAGATGACGCGTATATTGTTCGTGCGACATCGTTCGTCGGACGCGCTCGTGCGATGGGCGAGCGGGAGGGGGAGTTCCTTGGAGATCGCGCGGAGAGGAGACTGACGTGCGCGATCGACGCCTTTCCGCGCGCTCGTAGTGAGGTCGTTGCGAGAGGAGTTACACATGCTTCAGGAACCGGGATCGTACGTTGGAGAGGTCGTCAAGGTGATGGGGAAGAAGAAGGTGTTGGTCAAGGTACGTTTATTTGAGGGTGGCGCCGGCGCGCAAAGTCATAGAACGCGCGTCGTTCTTAGACTGGAAGAGATTTGGAGACTGACGGGACGTTTTCGGCTCGACGCAGGTGCATCCGGAGGGTAAATACGTATGTGACATGGATAAGAGCATCGATGTGACGAAGCTCACGCCGGGGACGCGGGTGGCGCTGCGGAACGATTCGTACACGCTACACGTGATCTTGCCGTCGAACATTGACCCGTTGGTGTCGCTCATGAAAGTGGAGAAGGTTCCGGACTCGACGTTCGACATGATCGGTGGTCTGGATCAGCAGGTGAAGGAGATCAAGGAGGTGGTGGAGCTCCCTATCAAACACCCGGAGCTGTTCGATTCGCTCGGCATCGCGCAGCCAAAGGGGGTGATTCTGTACGGGCCCCCAGGAACGGGGAAGACACTCCTGGCTCGAGCCGTGGCGCACCATACCGATTGTTGTTTCATTCGCGTGTCCGGATCGGAATTAGTTCAAAAGTACATAGGGGAAGGGGCACGGATGGTACGCGAACTGTTCGTCATGGCTCGCGAACACGCGCCGAGCATCCTATTCATGGACGAAGTTGATTCCATCGGGAGCGCGCGTGATTCTGGTGGCGGAGGCGGTGGGGGTGACAGCGAAGTCCAACGCACGATGCTCGAGCTTTTGAACCAACTCGACGGTTTCGAGGCGACGAACCAGATCAAGGTGATCATGGCGACGAATCGGCTGGACATTCTCGATCAAGCGTTACTTCGTCCGGGTCGCATCGATCGTAAAATCGAGTTCCCTAACCCATCTGAGGAAAGTAGAGTGGACATTCTCAAGATTCACAGCCGTAAAATGAACCTTGTGCGTGGTATTGATCTCAAGAAGATCGCGAGCAAGATGGGCGGCGCCTCGGGAGCGGAGTCGAAGGCTGTGTGCACGGAGGCGGGTATGTTCGCCCTTCGCGAGCGGCGCGTGCACGTCACTCAAGAAGACTTCGAAATGGCCGTTTCCAAGGTAATGAAGAAGGATAGCGAGAAGAATATCAGCATCAAGAAGCTCTTTTCGTAATTCGCAAACGTCAGATTAGCGATTGTAAGAACATGACGAGGATTTGGATCTCTCGAGCGCACAGCGCCGTCGATTCCACGCGTGGAGCGGCGCACCTCTGGAAGCGCACACCGCTCATTTCTTACGCTTGAATGAAAAATAGCGAATGTTATGCCGTAATGTTTCGAATAGGTAGCGCGAAATCTGCTCAAATTATTATTGAAAATGTCTCTAAGCCGAAATCGATGTTTGATACGCCTCCCAGCCAGCGGCGCGGTACTCCTTAGCCGCGGCGGCCGGATCTGCCGCCCTGTAGATGCCACGGCCGACGATGATAACATCACTACCGTTCTCCACGATGACGTTGTGCGGAGTGTTGTATTGCTGGCCCATGGCGTCGCCGCCTTGTTGCAACTGCACACCCGGGGTCATGTTGATCAGACCCTTGCTCCACTCCGCCTTCCACGCCTTGGGGTTGGTAGAGATGAAGCCCATGACGAAGTCAGGGTGCTGGGCGGCCATACCGATGGCGGCTTCAGTGTACTCACCCTTGGCCATTGTCCCCTTGGAGCTCATCTCCGCGAGAAGGAGCAGACCTCGGCCCTTGGAGAGACCAACAGACTTCAAGCCATCGATGATGCCGCTACCCGGAACGATGTGCGCATTCGTGATGTGGCTCCAATCCGCAATCTTATGCACGCCACTGCTGTACTGACCGACCACGGTGTTACCGATATCGGCAAACTTACGGTCTTCGAAGATCATAAAGTTATGCTTCTCCGCGATGGCCATGAGCTGTTCGCCAAATGACTCAGTGAAATCCGGATAAAGATCACAGTGCGTCTTGAGCATGCAAATTTCCGGCCCGAGAACCTCGGCGAGTTCCAGTAATTCCTTCGCCGTGTTAACGTCGGCGGCGACGCACAAGTTGGTCTTTTTCGTCTCCATCAAGTTGAACAACTGCTTCGCGCACGCGTTGTCAGTGAGCTCGGAGCGAGCCGTGTACGACATGCGCGTCGGCTTCTTCGCCTGTTCGCCTGCGGCCGGCATGGTTTGGTTCGCCGCAATGAAGTCTTTGACGGTTTGAACGAGCTCGGAGCTGCGATGGAGAGGTGAAATTCGTCGAATGTCAGTCACGAGAAAGAGTTTCTAAAATGTTGGTGCATATCCACCTTGACGACCCACAAGAGAGGCGACGTCCAGGGAAAGGGTTGCGGAGCGACCAATGTCGATGTTGCGTGCGTGAAAATTCGGAAACGCGTGAATGATCGCGCAAACGAGAAGACTGATGCACGCCCATGGATATCGGATTTCGAATCAACGCACCTCATCTTGCCGTTCGCCTCGAGCGTGCGCAGGACGCGGGACAGCGGCAGGACGGAGTGTAAGCGAAGACCGTGGGACGCCAAGCGCGCCTCGCCCCCTTGTTCGCGATCGATGAGCACCACCACGTCCTTCACCTTGAGTCCAACGCGCTCGAGCGGCTCCACAGTCTCCATCACGGACGCCCCGGACGTGACCAAGTCCTCAACGCACAGGCACGTTTGTCCAGCCTCGAACGCCCCCTCGATCTGCTTCTTCGTCCCGTACGCCTTCACCTCCTTACGACGCATCACCATCGGGCAGTCGTGCGCCAGCGACATGCACGTAGCGATCGGCAGCGCCGTGTACGGCACCCCACACATGTTATCAAACGTCGCGCCGTTCGCCTTCAGCACGTCCCACATGCACTCCGCGACCGAACTCAGAACGTCCGGGTACGACACGATCACTCGAAGATCGACGTAAATCGGCGACACAATCCCAGACTTGAGCGTGAACTCCCCGAACTTCACCGCCTCGATCTCGTGCAGGCGCATCACGAGCGCTGTTGCCCGATGGACGCAAGTTTAAAAAGCGCCATTCGTCAGTCCTCGCTCGCTTTCACGCCGTCGACGTCGCCAGAAAATCACCCCGAACGCGCGCGCGCGCGAAAGACGCGTCTCACGCGCGCGTACCATCGATGCGAGCGTCCATGACTCGCGCGCGCGCGTCTCTGTGGCGACACCGCGCGGGACGCCGCCGGGACCTCGTTGGAGTGCCTGCACTCGTGGAGTCATGACCCACGCATTCATGGACGACTCATGACTCAGCAGAGACGCACTCGACGCACAGCACACCCGAAGAACACGTACACAGATCTAAAAGATCTACAGTACGAGAATGCGCGCCCCCCGCGCGCGCGACCCGCCGCTCGAGGCGTCGTCGTGGCGCGTCGCGACGAACACGCACGCGCACGGCACTCCGCGACGACGCGCACGATGTTCGCCGCGACGCAATCGATGAGTTCTCTGAGAGCCGCTCCGGCGCGCGCCCGCACGGTGCGTCGAACGCGAACGACCCGCGCGCGCGACGAGGGCTCGACGCGCGCGAGGGTGGTGGGAAAACCCTGACGCGAGACGTCACGCGATGGTGACGTTGGGCGAGCGCACGAGCACGCTCGAGCGAGGTTTGGGTGACGACGACGGAGGGATGGTGACTGATGATTTTTTCTCGACGGTTTCGCGCGCGTAGGTGAAGCCGCGAGCGACGACGGCGCAGGCGGTGCGTGATTTTCGAGCGACGACCAGAGACCCTGACCCGAGCGAGGCGGCGATGCCGAGGCGACGACGGTGTCGATGGGCACGCGACGCGACGTCGGTGCACACACGACCGGGGAGGATGTGAGGGATATTCACACGGGAGTCGGTACCGCGAGCGGGACGATATACCGACGAGACGACGGACGCGCGAGCGGCGAACGAGAGACTGACCTGAAGGCATCCTTCTCATTTCCTGCAGGCCGCTGTGCAAGCCCAAAAAATTCGCATTCGCTTGCGCTCGTTCGAGACGAACCACATGCAAAGCGCATGCGATAAGATCATCGAGGCGGCAAAGGCGACTGAGGCGCGCATCTCGGGTCCGGTGCCGCTTCCGACGAAGCGACGCATCTTCTGCGTCCTGCGCTCTCCGCACGTTAACAAGGACAGCCGGGAACACTTCGAGACTCGCACGCACCACCGATTGATCGACGTGCACCAGCCGACGGCACAAACGATCGATGCGCTCATGGCGCTCGAGCTTCCGTCTGGGGTTGACGTCGAGATCAAGCTCTAAGCGAGGAGGATTTTTACGTTTCATTATTTGGATAGGGTGACCAGTGGATGTTTTAGAAATGAGAGAAAGCGCGCGAGACTGCGCTTTGTAATCAGCACGTAGTCTGCATCAATACAAAATCGGCAGAGCGAATCGCGCGCGCGAGCAAGACAAAGAAAGCGTCGAAAATCATCCCAGGAGCCGACGGGGGCCACAGTCGCCGTGTGACGGAGCCGAGCGTCAACCATGAATTATTTCTGCGAGACCCCGAGCGAAACGCGCGCGCGCTGCGTGACAATGAAGCTGCCATATCGTCGTCGTCGAACTCGCCGCTCGTCACCATGTCGTGATGGTCATCCTCCAACTCGCGATGATGCTGTTCGCCACCGTGAGGCACCTTGGCCTCCTCGACGACAGCAAGAATGTCCTCTACGGTCATTGACGTGCGTGGCGCCGCATCGTTGATTCCATTCGCATCGACGAGCTCGAGCGGGAGATCTGTGACGAACCACGGGTGCGCCTGGATCCCTGGAATATCAATCCGTCGCTGCGGGTCCACGACGAAGATGCGTTTTATCAAGTCCACGCACCCAGGACTAAGAACTACGTTTCGTGGAATCTCGTACTCGCAATTACGGATCTTGACGATGGTACTCCTAAAATCTCTCGGCCGTCGCCTGTCCTCAAACGGATATTTCCCGCAGAGCATCACGAAGAGCGTCACGCCGCACGACCACACGTCCGCCGTCTTCCCGTCGTACGGCTTCCGCTCGAGCACCTCGGGAGCGATGTACGCCGGCGTTCCCACCGTGCTCTTCGGATCGCTATCGATGAATGAATTCTTCGAGTAACCAAAGTCACAAATCTTCAACCTCGGCACCGCGCCGCCGTCCAAGAGCGCATTCTCCAACTTCAAATCCCGATGCGCCACGCCTTTCGCGTGACAATACGCCACGCCCGAGATGAGCTGCTGAAAAAAATACCGCCCCTCCGCCTCCGCAAAGTGTCCTCCCGGCGATTTCAGCACTCGATCGAACAGTTCCCCCCCACTCGCGTACTCCAACACGATCGCCAGGTGTTTATCCGTCACCGCGCACTCGATGAACCCCACGACGTTCGGATGCGTCAGCCCTCGATGATTCACCAACTCTCGCTTCACGTTTTCATCCACGTGCGCGCCGCGTTCGATGAACTTCACCGCGACGAGCTCACCGGTGCGTCGCCGTCGCATCAACCGCGCGGTGCCAAAATTCCCAGCGCCCAGGACGTCGGACCCATCCACGTTCGCCGCGCGCGCGGGGACCGACGCGCGCTCGTACGCGTCCTCCAACCGCGCGCGCGCGCGCGAGGGCGCCATCGAGCGCGCGGCGTCGACCGCCGTCTCGCCGTCGCGGACGTCGCGATCGCGCGGTGGCGTAGGGTTTAGCGACCCCGTCCATCGCGCGATCGACCCCGCGCGGGGGGGTGACGTCCGTACTCCGTGGCCGTGGACGCCATGTACGCCACGCACGTCACGCGCGCGACGCGCGGGGCGATCACGCGGGGCGGGACGCGTACTCTGTGACGAAAACGTCGATGAAGACCCCGCGTCGATGCGCGTCGTCGACCCTAGGGCGGCGCGCGATTGACCGCGCGCGATCGCGACGGGATCGGCACACGCGCGCGCGCTCGAGCGCACGCACGACACGCGCGCGGTGCGCCGACGTCGCGGGTGACCCGTTGAACCGTCGCGGACGCGCGCGCGATCGGACGGGGGCTCGGACGTGGGCGTCGGTGGTGGAATCGCGGAGATCGTTCGAATTCATTCATTCTCGACGTGTCGGACGATCGAGACGCGTGCCTGGGGACGATGACGGCGCTGACGAAGATGACGGTGGCGCAGCTGAAAGAGGCGTTGAAGGCTCGGGGGTTGGACGTGAGTGGGTTGAAGGCGGCGCTCGTGGCGCGATTGGAGGAGGCGATGGCGAAGGATGAGGACGCCGCGGAGGAACCCGCGGAGGAAGACGCGGCGGAGGAGGAGAAGGAGGAAGCCACCGCCGAGGAGAAGGAGGATGCGGACGAGGAGTACGCACCAGAAGACGCGGGTGAGGACGACGTGCAGGCGAAGGCGGACGAGATGGCTGAGAAGGCCATGGCCGAGCACGCCGCGAGCGAAAAGAAGCGCGAGCGCTCGCCCGAACAAGACTACGCCCCGCCTGAATCGCAACGCGCGCGCACGGAGAACGTCGGCGCCGGATCGGACATCGTCGACGGTGGCCTCACGAGGGATGGTCACAACTTTGCCATGTATAACCTCCCGAATGGAGAGGTGCGACGGGACGCTCCGACGCAGGGCAACGAAGGTCGCATCATCGGGCGCGGAGGCTCGAAGATCCGAGAGCTTCAAGACCGATTCCGCGTGCGAATCACGATGAACCGACCGGCGGGACTCGCGGAGGTGGTCGGTATGTTGGCCAACGTGAACGACTGCTGCGACGAGATCACTCGCATCGTCGAAGACGGTAACGTTCGCGAGGAATTGGAACGCGCCGGTCAACCCGTTCCGACCGGCTCGTTCAGCTCATACGGCGGTCAACCGATGCGCGGTGGCGCGGTCGGTGTTGGTGGAGGCGGCCCGTGGAGCGGTTACAACGAAAGAGTTCCGTGCGAAGGCCAAGAGGGTCGCATTATCGGTCGCGGCGGAGAAAATATTCGTCGCGTCGAGTCCCAAACTGGCACTCGTGTCAGAATGAATCGTCAAGAAAACGTTGCCGAGGTGTATGGCACTCCGCAGCAATGCGCGGAGGCCGTCCGTATGATCCAAGAGTACATCCACACGGCGCCGCAGCGCGGCGGCGGCGGATTCGGCAGTGGATACCAGCAGCAAGGATACGGCGGCGGCTACCAGCAGCAAGGATACGGCCAGCAAGCGTATGGTGGCGGTGCGTACCAGCAACAAGGCTACGGTCAACAGGCGTACGGTCAACAAGCGTACGGCGGTGCGGCACCAGCGGGCGGGCCGCTCCCGCACGGATGGGAAGAAGTAAATCCGGGTAACGGTGGTCCAGTCTACTACTGGAACACCGTTACCAACGTCACTCAATACGAGCGCCCGACGAACTAGATTTGCACGGCTTAGATACTTGACGAAGTTTCTACTCTAAAGGAATCGTCTTCAGTCTTCATCGTGCCTACAACTACGATCGATCGAGGCCACGAACGCCGCGGCGAAGCAAACGAAGCTATCTAATCAATCTCAATCACTCTCTATGCTCGACAACATCCAAAAACTCTCGAGGCATCAACGTTCCGTTTCTACCTCGGAATCGTCCCCTGATGCCGGGCTTACCGCCCGCTACGGCTTCCAATATCTCGTCTCCCGTTGCGTCGACCCAAAATGCCCCCTCGACGAGTCGCTCCGGTTGCCACGCGAATCCTGCTCGCTCACCCATCGATTTCGTCCAGAGAATGAACTCATCGCGCGTTGGTCTCGTCGATTTACTCTTCGTTGCGCTCAGGACGACGTTGACGGGGGAATCCATGACGGGAAAACTGCACACTGGACCAATATATCGTTCAAGTAATCGAGCGAAATCACGCACGGTTTCGCGCGCCGGCGACCCGCGCGTTCCGTTAAACATGTTCACCACCAAACTCCCATCTTCACCAAGCGCATTGCCACACGTTTCCAAAAACGTCTCGTCCCTCAGGTGTCGCGGTATCTCTCCCTCGCCGTCGAAAGCATCCATGAAGATGACGTCCAGCGCCGAGCGCTCCTCGAGCACGCGCGCGCAATCTCCTAAAATCACCCGCATTGATCCTTTGTCCCCGAAATTTTCGCCGTGGACACGCATTTTCACCCCCAGAACGTCTCTAGCGACGTTTAGGACCACGGGATCGATCTCCACGACCTCGACGTCGCTCTCTGGGAACGTCCGCTGCCAAAACGCGGGCGCCGCGCCCGCGCCCAGGCCCACGTGGAACACCCGCGCCCGCCCGCCCGTCGACGGATCCAACCCTTTGTGCTTCAACAACCCCATCGACGCCGCCGTCATCACGCGCAGATACTCGTACGGGAGCGCTTCGTCGTCCATCGCGGCCTTCCCGTCCCTCTCAGCCGCCGCCGCCGCCTCGCGTCCGCAGTACGCCAACCCTTGCTCGATCTCGTTGAACCGCAACGACCGCCACGGCCCGAACGCAGCGACTCTCACGGAGCCATTGATGGCGCTCGTCGACGCGTGCGCCGTGCGTTCGCTCGCCGGATCGTACGCCAAGTACGCGAGCTCACTTCGCTCGTAATCTCCGCTCGCGCGTCTCAACGCCCGTTCGGCGCGATCTAACAGCGACGCCTTCGTCCGGACGACGCGTCGCGAGCCGTATCGTCGAGTGACGCGACCCGGCGCGCGCGCGAGGCGCGAGAGCGCGCGCATGGGAATGACGTTGAATGACGACGTCGTCGGCACCGACACGGCACACGTCGATGCGCGTCGCCCTCGCCGCGCCCGCGACTGTCACGCGCCGCCTAGGAACGTATAAAAGAGTTTTTGACCGACGAGCGATGTCGACGCGCGCGATAGACGGCGCGGTGACGTCGAACGCGGGGGATTTCGCTCGCCAAGACGGATCGACCGATTGGGAAGGCATGTGGAGCCGCGGAATCACCAAGGGCGCCGCGTTCGATTGCTCGCGCACTGAACCGGCGTTTCAAAACGCTCTGGACGCGAAGGAGATCGCGATCGGGTCCGGGCGGGCGTTGGTTCCGGGATGCGGCAGGGGGTACGCTTTGGCTTCGCTCGCGCGCGCCGGTTTTGGCGACGTCGTCGGGTTGGAGATTTCCGAGACGGCCAAGGAGGCGTGCGAGGAGCAACTGAAGGCGGAGTCGATTCCGGAGACGGCGCGAGTGGAGGTTGTGGTGGCCGACTTTTTCGCGTACGATCCGAAAGAGGCGTTCGACGCTGCGTACGACTGCACGTTCCTGTGCGCCATCGACCCGAGGCGAAGGGAGGAGTGGGCGAGAAAGCACGCGAGCTTGATCAAGCCCGGAGGGACGCTGGTGTGTCTGGTATTTCCTGTGGGCGATTTCGAGGGCGGTCCGCCGTACGCGTTGACGCCAGAAATCGTTCGCGAATTGTTGGCGCCTGCGGGTTTCGAGGAGATCGAGCTTCGAGAGACCCCGGCAGAGATGTACGCGAGAGGAAGGCTGGAGTATTTATTCACGTGGCGTCGTCGCTCGTGATTCCAATCCTTCGTTCGATGCGGCGATGTAATGTGCAAGAATCGGTATTGATAATCTGTTCGGAGAGACGACAGCCGAGACAAGACAAGACGAGACGCGCAGCCGCCTTACTTCTCGACGCGCGACACGCACGTACTCATACCGAGCAAAAACGTACAAATCTTCCAAATCAATGTCCAGATATCTCAGAATCATCAGCCTACTCTTCTTCGCCCTCGCCACGGCGCCCGTGGAGGCCGTCGTGTACTACGGTGCGATGACGCCGCGCGTCCAAGACAAGCTGTCTACATGATGAGCGTTCTCCTCGACACGAAGCTATTAATGAGCAATTTTAGACAGGTGAATACTGACAATAGTACTTTTTCTTCTCCCAGGGGGCTATGGCTACGGAGAAGACGGATTCCAGGCGTACGGCGGCGCCGCCGTCGTCGTTCGCCCAAGAGCTAGACGACGAGTCCGATACTACGGCAGAAAACTTTTACAACAAGACTCGGAATGTCAAACGATGTTGGATGTCATCGAAACTGTACCGATGTTATCGGCGCTGAAAGAAGCCATCTCCGATCTACCGAGAATTCGAGACGCGCTGAACAATCGAACGGCGACGGATACCTTTTTTGCGCCGTCAAACAAAGCCATCGAATCTTTCACGAGCTGGGGCGGCTACGACGATTTCCGAACGGGACTGGAAGACATGTTCTCGAATGACGAGCTCAAGGCTCTCATCGTGGCGTATCACGCCGTTCCCGACGAGAGCTTGAAATGGGGCCAGCTTCGCGCCGAGGCGGCCAAGGGTGAATTCTTGCCTACGGTGCTTTCAAAGATTTTCAGCAACTCATCCGCCGCCCTCGAGGTGTCGTCGTTCAAAGGTGACATCTTCATCAAAGGCATCGGCAGTGAAGCGAAGATTGTAGCCGCGGACATTCGGGCCTGCGGGAGCATTGTCCACGTCATCGACGGCGTCTTACTTCCCATCGACGGCGACGGTGAGCTCACGGACGAACAGAAGGCTCGAATCGAGGCCGCTCGCGAAGCGTTGGCTGAAAAGAACGAGGACATGGGCGACGACTACGATGAAGCGGAGGCGCCGGCCTTAGCTCCGGAACCGGCGCCCGCGCCCGCGCCCGCGCCAGATTCGTTCGAAGACATCGAGCTCGATGTACTCGACATCGATTACCCGATCGACACGGAACCGTACGGCGAAGCCGACGCTCCGGCTCCAGCACCGACGCCGAACGAATGATTGATGGATCCAGCGACGACGTCTTAGACGCGCTTTAAAAGATACGACTCGCGCTCGTTCTCGTCGGGACGAAGCGCGACGAAAGAAATACAGACTACCTTTTCAACACAAACCTTTCTACGTTCGACCGGTTCTCACGGCAACCCAGGAGGCGGCGGTGGAACGTACACCGCGCCCGCGGGAGGAAACATTCCCGGCGGAGGCGGCGGAGGCGGAGGCGGCGCGCGCGCGCCGTACCCCGGCGCCCACGCCGGGGGTTCCTCCGGCGGCGGCGGCGGCGGTTCCTCATCATCACCATCCCGCACCCCCGATCCCGGAGGTTTCGGCGGCACCTCATCCGCCGTCCACGGCTCCACCGCGATCTCGATCACGTCCCCCTCCTTCGTCCCTCGCGGAATCCTGAATCGCACCACGGGTCCGTTTGGAAAAATTTGCGCCCACATTTCGCTCCCCGGCGCGCAATCCCTCGGCACCGTCACCGTCGCGAATCGCCGTCCATCGTGCGCGTCGAGATCCAAATCACACGGATCTCCCGGCGGTGGTTTCGGGATCCCCGTGATCGTCTTCCCGCCCGCCCGCGCGCGCGTCCGCCCGTCGCCGTCCGCCGCCGTCGCCCTCGCGCCCGTCCCACCCCCCCCCTCCCGCGCGCCGAG